TATGCTGGACTGCCACTCATGGACTATCATGAATAAAGCTAAAGGGAATCCTGCCCGTCCATGCTAATCATCGGATTGAATAAATTGCGGTTGGTTTGCTTTGAAAAATTTAGGGAACTTGGTTCATCTATTGCTCTGTTTACAGAACACCATTTTTCAGGACTCCCCAACATGCATTACCCCCCGAGATTCTACTAGTGGAGCTAGGAAGTTCTTACCACATTTGGTTTCCAGTCACTGGGGTGGTGGACAGAGGCTTTTCCTCTAAAGTGTTAGAGTGAATTCCTCCACTCTCAGAGAAGAGTGCAAAGTTGAGAGCTCTCCTACTCGGGTCCTTGGATGTCGATAGCAGCAGCACCAGCCTATGTGGAAGTCTTCTCATAATAAAGGTTCAGATTTGTTTCTCAGCTATCCAGTGAGGTGTGCATGGCCTTTCTTTTTGATCAATATCTGTTCAGTACATTGTTCATGGAAAGGGGTCCACTATCTCCTCATAATTCCGATTGCGGATTGGTCCCATCTTGGGTCCTTGGTTGAGCACAGTTGTTCCACAGAATGCTCCTTGCCCACTCAGTTGGGGAGTGAGGATGAATGTTCATAATTCCAGATGAGTTATGTTCCTTTGGTTGAGTATGGCATACCCGATCATGTCATTCCTAGCCTGGGGCATTGCCTTTCGGGCTTATTCAGATGGAGGAAAAGGTTTGTCCATTTCAGTATTGCTTACTTTCTCGTCGTGATTCCAGTGGTTCAGAACGCATCACTCTATGACTACAGATTTGAATTCAATCAATAGAATATATATATATATATTTATATAGATAACATTGCAGTCCAATTGCCCTACCCACCAACATAGGATATAAGGACCAAGACCCCTTAATTCCAACCCTGAGTAGTGGAATCTTTGCTATCTGGTTGAGACTGGCCTATAGTGATCACTCATGTACAATTCCACCTTTAATACAGGAACTAAGTTCAGGGTGAAGAGCATACCTGTTCTGGATGTAGTGTGGTTCCCCCACTGTTTGGATAATGCCCTCAGAAGCCCCTCCACCTTTTCAATGTGTGATTCTAGTTATAAGTGTCAGCGGAGGTAAATATGTTTTTGAAGTTAACATTTTCCTAAATTGAAAATGTATTTACAATACTACTTATCTCTGCTGACACTCTCCACCTTTCCTCCTCACTAAGAGCCGGTGTTAGAGACTTGGATGGTTTTAGTCTCGCAAAAGTGTTAAAATTATCTGAATGAGGTACTTATATACAGTACCGGGACAGATGGCACATTGACGTAGGTG